GTTCCCTTCCCTGTTTTCCCTCGTAGGCTCTTTTTATTGTTGTCCTCTCCCCGCATTACTTTCTGTCCCCTTTTCCTCCTCCCCTTGGCTACTTGTCCTTGTGGCTGATTCTTCCTCCACCTCCAGTATTCTTCTGCTTTCTTTCTTCCTTTGATGTTTGTCTCTGCCATTCTCTTCCCATCTTCCCATGGTAATCCCCGAGACCTCTACCGTTTGGTTTATGGTGGTGTTCCATGTTTGGCAGGGTCGGCCTACCTTCCATTCCGAGGCACATAGAATCTTGGCAGCTCGTATGATATGGTCTTTGTTCCTCCTGTTGGTATGTCCCCAGTATCTCATCTGCCTCATCTTCAGTCTCCTGGCAATCGTCTTTTCCTCTAATAGTTCTCTTCTCTGCTTTCTTGTGAGGTTGCTGTTTTCTTCAGTATCCTGAGTGTCTTCCACTCCGCCCTCCTCAATGTTCGTCTGTTGCTCTTTGTTGGCGCTGAAGTGTTAATTCCGTATAAGATTGTCGGTGCTACGATCGTGTTGTAAATCATCATTTCAAGCTGTCCGGTATTTTCTTCGCTCGTATGAAGTTCCAGATTCCGTGTGTGATTCTGAATGCGTTGGATATTCTGTCTTTCACTGCGTTGTGCCTGCTGAGGGTGCTGCTTATGTACATACGTTCCCATATATATTCTTGTGCTTCATGGTTATCTCCTTCCCGGCTATGGTCTTCTCTCCTTCTTTGTACTGGGGGTGTTGTTTCCTGGCACTCTTGTCATCATGTAGCTCTTTTCGTTGTATATTTGTAGGTTCACCATTTCCGGGTGTACCTGGTATCCCGATGGCCTGGACGAAGTCCTCGGTGTCTTATAAATTATCCGCGATTACGAGTAGATCGTCCGCGTACGCCAGTAATGTCGGTAGTTGTAATTGGTCGCCTATGCTAAGGTTCCTCACCACCATCCTTGTTTGTTCTATAGCGTGGTCAAGTGCTATTGCGAAGAGCCTTGGGGAAACGGACATCCTTGTTTGATCCCCCTGGTTTTCTTTTGGTGTACGGTTTTCTTCCAAAACCATTGTATACTAGTATACTCCCTTTGCCACGCGTGTATGGTTCTGTTGATTAGGAATTTGGGTAGTCCCAGCATCGCCCACGCTGTCATTGGTATATATTTTCCGAGATATTTTCTGTTTCCCCCTTGTTTCCTCCTTTTATATTTTCTGATGTGCCTATACCATTACATTTCCGTATTCCTCTCTATTGGTCTGAGTTTGGTGATGTTCTCCGCGAACTCGGCGAATTCCTTGATTTCGTGTTGCTCATAGGCTCTGTTTTCTTCTTCCTTGGCTTCCCTTAGCTTCTTCTTTGTTTCAGGTTAGTGTGGGTTTTGGCCCGCTTTCTGTTCGGTCACATGGGCGGTTTCTGTTTCCCTAGTGTTTTCCTTGTTGCTTCTTTGATCGTTTCGCCGATATTTTTCCATATGGTATCCCATCCCCTTTTTGCTTCTAATCTTTTACCACTGCTTTCGGTACTCCTTTCTTTTCTTCTCCCCTGACAGAAGTTTCACATTCCACCCTTCGGTTTCCCCGTTGTGCTCCTTGTCCTTTCCTACCTGTTCTCTTCTTCCCCTCCCCCCTCCTTACTTTCCCCTTTACCATTTTGTGGTCCGATCCTACTGTTTTTGCCCATATGTCTGCTGTGTTCGTGACGCTTATTTCCTTTGATTACATGTTACCATTTTGGACTTGCCGAATATGTTTTCTACCCTCAGTCCATGTAGGTGTACCATGTTCCTAAAGGTCGCTGCCGTTCCCCTCCTCCTATTCACTTCCGTCCAGTCTGCCTAGTTGTGCATTGAAGTCGCCTAGTATGATACCCAGGTTCTTTTCGCATTTTTTTGTTGTTGTTTCACTTCGATTTCTGAGTTCCGCCTGCCCTCTTTTGTCCGAGAGGATGTGGCATCCTATGATTGTTAGTCTTCTTATTTTCATCTTGATTTGGGCCATGGATATACTCTTGCTTTTCCTTCAAATTTCTCCACCTCAATGCATCGGTGCTTCTTGATTACGATTTCCGCAACCCTGCTGGTTCTCTCCTTCTTCCCTCCACGTATCCGCCTACGTCTCCTATCAATTGTGGGTAGAAATCTTCCAGGTTTTCCCTGATGTATGCGTTGATTTCTTTTTTAATCATTTGGTTAATTTCCTGTGAGGCTCTGATGTCACTGGCAGTCGCCTCAGTTGGTGCGCAATCGCTCCAAACAGGCAGTCCCCATCCTTATTTATACTGATGCATTCTAGGATGTATTCTTTTGATCGCACTTCTATTTGATCGCTGTTACGAGTACTTGTCTTTAAGGTCTTAATCCTGGTTTGGGTGGTGGGTGCTGTTTATTGATCGCTAAAAGAGATACCTAGGAGAGATAATTTAGTTAAGTTAATTGTTAAGTCACCGAGACGTGCCCCTTCAGTCTATCTTTGACCGCCCCGTATATTCTATTGTGTCTGGGAGACTCTAAACTAAAGGTACTAATGAAAGTAAAAAGCGCAAAAAACAGGAAAAAAAAGCCGCTGAAATTTGGTAAGAAAGGTTTCCTTTTTTGTCAATCATGCCTATTAGACCGAAATTTGAGAGCTTAAATATTGTAATTTATGGCTTAGTTTCTTTATGTCTCCGGTTGACAAGTTTATATTTCCTTTCCCAAGGGTCAATTTGTTCCACCCCGATTCGAAGTAGGTATATTCAATGTAGCTCCCAGTGACTTGCGCCTCTCTATTCTATCTTTTCCCCTTTGTTCACTTTTAAATTAAATTTAGCCTTAATTCTAAGTAAGTAAGTGAGTAAGTAAGCAAGTAAGCACTTATCTTAGCTTTACGCCCTTTTTTGTCCTGTTGATTGGAGGTTCCTGCCCTGTCTTCTCACGATTTAATTAGTCTCGCGCGTTATGAATCTTGAGATTAAACTTAAAACTGTAAAAATTCGTAAAATCTCAACCACTGAACCGATTTCGATGAAATAAGCACTAAACAATTACAAATTTTGTACGCTACCGACTGCACGAGATAATACATTTTTAAATCTATACAAACACAAAAACCCACTAAAAAAGGCCGGAGCTCGCTCAAAACACGTCCGTTCGCCATGAAAGACGAACTTCTACCACAAAACAGCGTTCTGGCGCTACAATACAAATTTACCATTCAAATTGCATCAATTTGCAATAATATTTTGCTGAAATATCATATTTTAAAGTTATAGTAGAGGTATACGAACAGTTACAAACGGTTTTAAACAATTTGTCATCTACCCTATTGTTTATACGGTAACATAAATACGCTTTTAGGGTGCCAACCTTCTCTAAAAATCGATCAAACTTCAGATTCCAGAAATGAATGTACATTTGAATTTTATTGCCACTTTTATTGACGTTATCTGTGCCTATATCCGTCAGTTCTTGAGTTGGAGCAGAGAAAAACTATTGTCTCTGAACATTAAAAAATTATGGGTTCTAAAAAGAATTATGTCAATAATTAGCCTATTAGCCTCACAATCCTTAGTATGGAACGACTGAAAAATTTGTTCAACCCAATAACTGAATTTTCCTAGAAATGATAGAATTGATTTCTGACTCCAATTATGGAAGAACATATTAGGAGAGTTCAACGCGAGTGTGACAAATGGTATCGTAAATTATCTAAGCAATAATATACACTATACAAGATGAATTGATCAACTTGATTAGAAATGTAATTTTAAGTAAATTTTTGAAATAACAAAAATTATTAAAACAATTTCCATATTCGCCGATTGTATACCCAACACGTGGTCATATTGAACATCTTTCATTAACATCAGTAAGTTATGCCTTTCAACTCCATTCAAAATAAATATGAAATTGAAGAAAAATATTTACTCCTCTCGAAAACTGCATCATATTGAGAAAATATACCGCACCGCCCTGTACATTTGGATATATTGTACGATTAGATTTGAATCTTATGGGATACGCACAAAATTAGCTTATTTTCAATGTTACTAATTACCACTGTAGATATTGCAACATAACCTACATTTACATTAGATGAGATTAGCGAGAAATAAGTAGATCTGCAAAGTGAGCTTAATTAGTCCATTTATGAAATAATTTTAAATTAATCTCAAATAGGTATACATATACGTGTACATTTGTATGTCATCAAGAGCTTTTTATAATTACCCGCTACCTGTTCCTGTAATTACTCCGCCATTAATTACTTTTCAACTTTATCTACAAGTTCTTTGGTACTCCAGGTAGCGCAAATGCCACTGGGCTAAAATACCAAATTACAGCAACTAATATTGCGTAAAATCGACCTTGAAAGAACCAAGCCACAAAAATGTATGTCCAACTTCTTGCTTAACACTATTTAGTTATACTTCGTTACCTCAGACGAATTTAATGGTGCGCGGCTTAAAAATTTCAAGGTAAGCGAAATGTGGACAGGTAATTAAGAGCACAATTTCATATAGTAATTAATTGACTCGTTTCAATTTTGGATCTGTACAGAGTTACACACGTTTATTAAATATCAGTTTTCGCCTCCACTTGACCAACTGTTAAATGCTGGCCGATTTGTTATGAACTCGCATGAATGAGTGAATAATTATTTCGCGAAATAGAATTTTGAAATAATAACACAGAAATAAAGAAACAAAAGCCGGATATTGCGGAAAAGTGCGGCTCCTTGACTTGTATGGAAATTACATCTATATATTCGTTTAATACTGACGTAATCCGAAGAACTCGGTTATGTCCATGTGTATAACAGCACCATTTCCGGTTACCTACCTACTTTTATGAATTAAAATGTCATCAGTGTCTATCGATACACGGCGGAGCACGCACATTAATGATTTTATGAAAGTAATCGCCTTAATTTCACTTTCTACATTAGGAAATGTTATAATATCATTCCTATTCTGTTGATGTAGGTCAGTGTGCGATCCGTTAGCACAAATAAAAATTCAAAAGTTTAAAAAAATAAAACAAGAAGTTTATTACAGTAACATAATACGGTATAAATACATTAGGGTTGAGATTGCGTATTAAACACACACAGTGTGAACATTTCAAATTTAGTGGTGGTAATCGTAATATCCACCATGATAGTTGTGAGCAATTGGAGCGTCATGAACAACGGGGGTGTGAACAACAGGGTATGGAATTGGCACTTTAACGGGGACGGCGTATGGTTTCTCTACGGGGTAAGGAATGTGTTTTTCTATAGGCACAGGTACGGGTCTGTCAACTAAAACTTTTACTGGTACCGGATAGGGCTTTTCTACGGGATAAGCGACAGGTTTTTCTACTGGGTACGGGGCAGGTACGGGTACCTTTACTGGTACTGGGTATGGTTTTTCTACATGAACAGCATATGGCCTGTCTACTGGTACTTTGACTTCATATGGTACTGGTCGGTCCACGGGAACGTGAATGTGCTTAATAACTTCAACTGGATAAGGTTGAGGTACATGTACCGGGTAGGGCCTGTCGACGGGGACTTTTACGGGTACTGGGACATTTTTGTATACTGGGTATGGTTGTGGAACGTGAACTGGTACTTTGACAGGAAATGGGACTGGTTTTTCTACTGGGTATGGTTGTGGAACTGGCACTTTTACGGGAACTGGGATGTGTTTCTCTACTGGATATGGTTGTGGTACTAAAACTTTTACTGGGTATGGTTTGTCAACTGGAACATGGACTGGCACGTGCACAATTTTTTCAACTGGGTAGGGTTGTGGAACGGGAACAGGCACCTTAACTGGTACTTTGACTGGATATGGCACGTGCTTTTCAACCGGGTATGGCTGTGGTACTGGTACTTTAACTGGTACAGCGATATTCTTTATAACTGGATACGGAATGTGTTTTTCTACTGGGTATGGGACTGGTACTCCTTTTACAAGGGTTATGGTTTTTTCAATTGCGGTGCTGTGTCCTAGATCGATTCCATATCCGTAATGGCCTAAACCGGTTCCTAAAGTAATTCCTCCTTCCAATCCGTATCCTCCTTGGCCTAGAAGATATCCGTTATCGTAGTCACCACCATATCCATAACCCAATGTTAATAGTCCACGTTTCGTTGGTTTCTTATCGCTACTGTCAACTTCTTTCTTCTCCTCCGCCTCAGCCCTTACAGCCACTGCGGCTAGGACTAAGATAGTAAATAACAGCTGAAATAGAAAATGAAATTAATAAAATTGACGATGTTAAAACTTAAATTATTAGAAATCGATTGAATGAAATTTGGATTTAGTAAGTCAAAAATTAAAATGTGTGTCACTATAAAAATAATAATCCAATAGGGTCACTAAATAAATCACTGTCACTGTACACATTAGCACTTGCATTTAACTCACCAATTTTTTCATCATACGTCAGTTGATGCTTCTAGTTCAAGATGTGAACTGTATAGGGTTATTAAGATTTTACCCACTTTTATACCTCCGTTTCACTTTCGCTGGGGATATTAATGCACCACCATTAAGTAGGCATAAGCGACATTGTGTCAAAGTCTTCTCCCGCTCGAAAGTAACTCCCTTTCCATAATTGAGAAAGTCATTTTTCAGTCAAATACGAGGCCAGCTCATGCGTCCTTTACGTAATACTAGATTATGCGTACACTTGTCCAATATATGACGCCTCACTTTCTTCCAAAATCATAAATACGGCGGAATTAATTTGATACTTTAAAGGATATTATAAAAAAATGTCTTAATTTGAATGCGAGTCATTTGTGCTTTTGTAATAAAACCTTCGGCAACTTTACATTTTTCCTTTTTATTACACCGCGGCTTAAGACCTTAGAATGGTTTGATGAAGGTCAATATTAATTATTGTGCACAGGTGATTGATATCTTTTTCTTTAGCATTAAATAACTTATTTCAATACAAAAGGAAAGCTAATTTAAATTTAAATTTTATAATTTTATTTCAGATTTTTCGTTAGCACTTTACTACAGTTTCAACTATATCGAGCTTTGTGTCGAGCAGCCGGACAATATGATTCATTAAACATCAATCAACCACTGCATAAGTGTGACATTTATCGCAGTAAAGAAGCGGGTCTTGTATTGAGGTAAGTAATAGGGCATTAGTGTATAATAATAATAAACAATTATTGGATGCCAAACGCTAACAAATCGATTAAAAAAATAAGTCGAACGGAAGTTCTATAAAGTCCGGAACAAGCCTGACATTTTAGCTGCTTATGTGCTTATGAATTATGATAACTTTGTTAGTAAGAAGATAAACGACAATTTCTATGGCAATGTGAAAGCATGTAATAAGACGGACTGTGATGCAAACTTAATCTAGATTACTGGTCCTTCAGAGACCTTGAGTATGCACAACCTCTCACTATTCGTAATTATATCAATTTATCAGTTCATTCCTATTTTTCCTAACAATACTTCAAGGTTTTGGTCACACAACATAATAGGTAGGTACCACCTTTGTGTGAAATTAAACGGCAATTATAGATTGACTAATTCCTGTTCGGATTTTTTGCTTACTTTTCCGTTGCACAATATAATGTATAAATTCCTCAAGTTTACTTTCTAGCTAGAGCACTTATTTACACATGTGTGAATTTTTACAATTTTATACGAATTGGAAATTTGCAAACGATTATATGGATAGCTGGAATAGACACCGTGGGTTACTTATTATTTTATGTTGAAAGGTTCAAGTAAGTAGGTAATTAGAAAACTGAAAATATATCTTGGAAACGTAATTAACGTCCTAAAGATACATTGTATATTATGTTTGTTGTTTTACCCGAGGTTAACTTACAAAATTTTATAATAGATACCTGTTGTGTACCTACACCCAAAACAAACAAAAGGTGATTTTATCAAACCAATTTACTGAACAATATTTAGTAACAGCATGTTGCAATAAAAATGATTAATTGTCCACTTCGGTAATTATACGTAACGAAATAAACGGAAGAAGTACTTCATTCATTTTCTTACCTACATTTTTTCAATACAAGTTGACTTTTATTGCAAACATGTTTTATTTCACCTGTAAATATTTCTGCATTTGCACCAGATGAGGTTCAAGCAGTTTACCAACCATTCCTAGTTGTGGTTTTTTAAATTATTTATTTGTCATCGCTATCTCCACATAGCGACTTAGCCCAACAAATTAATATGGTAATTAATTAAGTGGTAATTAAATGCTACCCAATTTAATGCACTAATTATAGAATTGTACTGCTAGTTACGGAATAACTGTTTAGCATCCTTAAGTTTGTTAGATCCACTTGATTGAGTATTTTAAAGAACTGCGTTTTTCTTTTCTCTTAGCCTAAAAATGAATACCTACCAATTTAATAAATAAACAGATAAGGTGCGTAGTATTTTTTGTTATATTACTAGCGTGTAAAAATGCCTAAATTTTCAATTTGAGCCACAGAATCTGCACGTGCCACAAGCCCAATGTTATGCAGGTGATAGTTGACACTCCAGAGCCTCGTCAGGTGTAGCACCCAGGTGATCTTCCTAATCTGGCTTCTACTATGCGATCGAGTCACCTTTGGAATTTTTATGTACACGGGAAATCGTACTTTACTTGAACTTCCAAAGGCGACCGCGACTCGACAGCAACTCGATCTTGATCGCCCGTTATTCAGGTTTAGGAGCTTAGACTCTTGGCAAGGGGCGGAAGTGCTTACTGCCACTGAGCCTAGAATTGACTGGTCCCCCAGTCTTCCATTCTGGCCGTGATAACGGAGGGAACAATTCTTAGGGTAGGCTCGGGCCCGAAGAAGGCTCCACCACTGCCTTCGCGAGCCAGCTCGTCCGGCCTCTAGTTGCCTCCTATTCCACAGTGCGCTGACACCTAGATCAAGATTACCCTAGCTATTAGACTCATCTAGAGTTCGCCTGCAATTAAGCGGCGTAGCCGACCGAAACCTGTCTGCTGACAAGGCCGCCTGACTGTCATTGCATGGGGCGATCTGAGTTCAGCCACATTTTGGTATTAGTAAGACAGTCCGGATCACATCCCTTCTTGCGAGGAGGGGATCGGACCTGAGGGTTTCCTTTCTGGTCCGCCCTTGCCCAAGAATGCCTCGGGGCTCGGTCCTTCCACTCCTCGCAATAGCCGTATGGAAGCCTTCCGAGCTTTTACTTCGACAGCTAATTGTTTTGTGTTTGGAAAGTTTCCAGTTATGACGATCGCGAGATCGTCCGCGTACCCTGTGTATACGCTCCCCCCTCGTTCAAGGTACGGAGGAGCCCATCCATCACCAGGCACAACAGCAGTGGAGACAGCATGTCACTTTGGGGACACCCTCAAGTGACCGATGAGCTCATCTCTGTCATCTTAATTGAGGATGTAATGACCCTGCTTCCGAGCATGGTGCGGATCAATCTTACTATTGACCCATTAACGCCAAAGCCTTCACCAGCATCACTAATGGAATCAAACGTGATGTTGTTAAACGCACCCTCGAGATCGAGGAACGCTCCCAGGGCTACTCCTCCGCCCCCCCCCACCCCACCAGACATTCCGCTTTTCAGCCTGCACATGAGGCGGTGAAAAGCCGTCATATCAGCCCTGTATAAGCATGTTGCAATAGATCTACCCTAGACCTACAAGGTCTAACCAGTACCACATTCCTTATGTATGCATCCACCAGATTCTCCACCATTTTTAGAAGAAACGATGATAGGCTAATGGCCCTGTAATCCTTCGCCATGTCATATTTGGCACTATCCGGTTTCTGTAGGTACACAACTCTTACCTTCCTTGAGCTTTAGGGTTTATACCATAAAGTCAGGGAGGCTCCAAAGAGCCGGGAACACCCGTCCGGTCCTGCGTTCTTAAATAGGCTGAATGCGTGGAATGCAGCTACTTTCAAATTGGCCTTGCACCGATCCGAGAAGTTCCTTTTGGTGGCTCCGAAGTTACGTAGTTCCCAAAACCTGGGAGGTGTGTTTCCAGGAGACATGTTAGAGTCCCACCCGCGGGAGACGTATATGTGCCGCATGGAAGCCTCAGAGTGCTATCCATTTGCCTCGGGTCTTTCAAAAGGATCTTACTATCTTTTCAACTTCAGGAAGACCCTCCATGTTGCCATAGAAAATCCACGTTCAGATCCTCGAATATTGTCCTCATACCTGCACTGAGTGGTCTTGAGATCCTCTCTCTCTCTCTGCCCGCAGGCAGCTTAGTTCGGATGTCCCTACTAGAGCCTGCGAACCCCTTACGAACCTTTTCAAGGTCTGAGTTTCACTAAGCGGTTCTCTTCGTTCTCTTTCGTTTCCAAAACAGTAAAACAATTGTTTATTGCAATGTCGAACATTTACAGTTTTCCCATATGTTTTCAGACTATAACTGTTACAAACTTAACATATAGGGCGCGGACGTAAATCGTCCCCCCGCCCCCTCATTTCTAGGTTGGAAACGGTTTTAGATATTACGTAAAAAATTGGAAGGGGTAAGTAAGGTATAAAATACAACTTTTTTGCCATAAAATTCACAGTTCTAAATTACAAGATGGTATATGCGCCATTTTTAATTTTTTTTTATTGAAAGGGAAGTGTTGTGATACTCTTTTTGAAGGTCTTTTACTTGCAGTCCATCACCAAAGTGTCATGTCTCCACTTCTCTCCAGCTAAAATGGCGCGTCGTCTAATCGTATTGGTCAAAAAATGTATGGTCACAATTTACAAAAACTAATTTTAATTTTTTCGCGCACAAGTGAGATGTTAAAGTTTAGAACTTAATTTTTCGTAAGAAACAGTTTGTCATGTATTTGATCATACCTTAGCCCCCCCCCCCTCCCCCCCGATTTCAGCTCTATATCTCAAACAGTTTCCCATCCAGAAAGGGAGGGACACGCACTGTATACAGGGTGTTATATGACCGTATGTAAAAAAAATTGACTAATAGGGGGATCAAAACAAGCACTTTTTCCAAATAAACCAAGGGTCCAACGTGTTTCGTTTGGAAGCCACCCCCAAAGAAGTGGTGAAATTTGGATTTCTTCTTTAATTTTTTTCTCAGCAACCATAAGAGTTACAAAGATGGGTGGCGCGTCTTTGAATAGGTTTTTGGGTATGCCCAATCCGATTTTGAAAAAATGTTTTCAAAATTCCTATACGGAAGGGCGCACCCCTATTTGGGGGATGCGAAAAAAAATCTGATTTCGAAGAAATTTGGTATCTGGAGGATTTTGAATATGAAAATCACGAATCTGGAATTAGTTTTTGAAAATTCTTGGCCGGACAACGAAAATGCAGAGAATTCCACGAAATTTGTTGTGTAGATCCTTGATGACAAATTGTCGAACGGTTTTTTCAAATAACTTTTCACACAACTCATTTGAAGATTTCGGGTTACAAAGTGTCCCCCGCCTATTAGTGAGTCATCTAATTTTGCATGTAGTTAATTGAAAATGTCGCAAATAACAAACAAATAACGATTTTAGTCGATCTTCATGTGACTATTGTGTAGTAAAAAAGGTATTCTATTTCTATATTTACTTAAATTTAAGGCACGCTTATGTCTGCACACAGTTTGTTTTCTCAAAATCTTATGTGTATCGTTTACATCATTTCTCCCATAGCAGGTTGTGTGTAAGAAGAAATTAACTTTATTATGTAAACTCTATTTGCATACAAGTAAAGAATAATTATGTGAAGACATAAATTTTTATTTGCATCTATAATAAAGGGGGCCAATTGCCAGGTTTTTCTATTAAACAATGAAAACAACTTCATACGTTCGTATAAAGTGTGCATTTATGTTAAATGTTGCGATAACTTCAACAAAAGTAAATTAATATCACTAAATATTTAATTTAATTAACTCTTAATTATTATTACTGCTCGTACCCGTTGGCCCAGTTTTTGATGAACTTTTTGAAAATATATCGATTTTTTTTATTAATTAAATTGATAAAATTTTAACTACTGGAGAAACGGTTAAGATTTTTAGATTTGATGATACTTGCATTCAAGGGAATTTCATTATAATGCGAAATAATAAGATAAGTTTCAATGCCAGCTACACAGGAAATTCTTAGAATTGACTACTACTCAATTGAATTGAATTGAAATTGGCAAGACCTTATTCTTTGGTAACATTGTAATTATGCACTGTGGGCACGCTACATAAAAATACATAGTGCGCTAATTAATTGATGTTCTCACATCTGTTTGAAGAAATGTTTGCCAAATGTTCCGTTGTGCTGTTGAGAAATAGCTATTGTTTCTAAAATCGTTATATAATACTAGTATTCTTCAAAAGAAAATTATTACACGTACAATGAGGATATATGCTTAAATGCCAAAAGAAAGTGACTTTGTTTTAAGTAGGTGTAAATTGATTCATCGAAATTTATTAACAATCGCTTTGTTTCTAATGTTACAGGCGCCTTATGGAAAAAGGTTCTTCTTTGCCATGGAATGAAGTACTTTTTCAAGCGATAGGGGAGAGCCGATTAGACGGAAATGCAATGAGGGAATACTTTAGGCCTTTGGAAGATTGGTTGCGAAATGAAAATCTAAGGACGCAAGAATACGTAGGGTGGGTCTATGACGGCGATTACTGCAAGCAAAGTATTGAAACGGCAGGTTTGCAAGTTTATGGAGGATTTTACAATGGAGCATACGCAGCACTCCAATCATATACTGTATTAATTATTAGCATTTGGGCCAGTATCAGTTTGTATATATTGAAACGATGATGACTAAATGTGTAAAAGCTGTACTTATTTATAATATTTTTTGTAAAGCGTAGTAATAAAGAAAATCATGGAGAGACCGTACTTTACAAATACCTTATGTGAAAATTCTAGACTGGGTACTGTTTATGATAAAATTTGCCAATCCAATAGTGTATCGGAAACTCTAATCTCTGCTGGAAGAAGAAATTGATCCAAGTGCGAATGTACGTTTCCCCTCACCAAAACAGATGACTATTAATTCAGCTGTGATCACAATCTTATTACAGATAACAAATAATAATAATAATAATAAATATAATAAATTATATTGTAGTGACTTTACATTAAGGGGAATGAAATTATGCATTTTTTTAAAATAATAATATCAGTACTGTTCTGAGTTTTAACTAGACGACAAAAGGATAAAAGGACATGATCTTTATTACGAGTATCATACTGATAAATATCACAGTGATAAAGCGAACTTCATTACGTTTTGCAATTATAAATAAATAAACAAGGCAGTGTTAAAATTTTATGTTGTATAAAAACATGTCGACAGTCTTCTCTGTACCCAAGCTGAGAAATAATCCTTACTGCTTTGCGTTGTATTTTAAATATATTTATTACAGATAACAAAGACGTCGGCAGCCTTGGACAAAAAGACCGCATAATTGGTTTCCATGTTGACTGCATTGAATGCAATGCCACAGACTGCGCATTTGTCGAAAGTTATAAAGGAATTAGATTTTTCACATACATACAGGTACCTATTTAAAAAGATTCAAGGTTACGAATGGTAAATCAACAATATAAGATCCATAATGGAACAGTAGGTATAGGTGTCTCATTAACTTTCGTATTACACAACGTCGTAAACTACTGGAAACCATAATTAAATAATACTATGTAGATATAGACATCTAAAGGATTATGTATTAGACACGGCTCTTCTTTGAGATGCAAATCTTATAAGTAACTTAAAAAATTGGACATAACATTAGTGTAGTAGTGAATTAGTAAGGAAGACCGAAGTCAATTGTAACAAATGGAACAAGACCTGGAAGACCTTGTAAAGAATGTTGAGTTTTAATTTTTTTAATTAGGTTAATTCTGAAAAAAATCATGCACTTAAAAAACTAGTTCTGATCTCGGCTAAACTAAAATGAATTTTACCATAGGTAAAAATTACACGAGATATTAGCTAGGGTACGAACCCATTTTACTTTATTCAAGATAAGAAGATTACGTCATCCGCGTGGTCTAGATCTAGACAGTACAGGGCTCGTGACAATAAAATCCAAGATGAATAATTAAATGGCATGCCAGAATTAATTAATTGATCAAAATCATAGTCTAACGAAAGAACTAAATTAAATTAGTTCAATTAAGTCCACTAAACTTCAAATTAATCGATCGACCAGAGTGCGAAACCGCAAAATCAATCAGTCAATTAAAGCGCGAAATCAAGTAATTGATCAAATCAAAGTCCAAATTCCACGAAATTATCCAGAAACAATCAATTAAATCTCCGAAATATTCCGAATCAATGTATTTGACTTTCATCGACCCTGAGAATTAAATTAATCTCTCGAATTGAAGCGAAAATAAAACCAAGAGACTTACCCAAAATACAAACCACACGAAATATTAGCTATGATAAGAACCTATTTTACTTTAACAAAGATATGAATTAATCAAGATTAAATCATCTACGGCGAGAAACAGTGACGTTACAAAATTAAAGATGCCGTAAGGTGCCTCTATTCTACTGATACATAAATTACGTAAAAAAACATTGATAACGTAGTTTTTATTCAAAATAAGTTATGAAAATTACTTGAGAGTAACCTATGAAAATTGACTTTTTGTGTTCTTTCTGTTTCAAAGGATTGAAATGACAAATACCTACTACAAGTATGTATTTAAGAGTGGAATAAACATCGAAGGTATAAAAAACCTTTTTCTTATGTTAATTCCCTATGTTCGGTTTTAAAATATTCACCCGATATGTAGGACTACTAGATTTTCCCTTCCCACGCTCGATATTGACGGATATTTGATAACGGCGACGCAACTGACTTGGCGCATTTATCGATCGGTACTCGAAATAATCGAGTGCGACATCAACGAAAAAAGAAGTAATCCGATCGGGACCAACTGTGAATCTAAACCATCCGGAGACACACAGAGACACATAAAAAATCTCACCAAAATCCGTCCAGCTCTTGGTCCAGCCGTTTAGTAATTCAGTCACAACACACGTACAGAAAAATGTTATATATAAAGATTATTATATCCTTGAAACTGGACAACAGATACAATAATTTTAAATATTTTTGAATAATAATATTATAATCAAGATATATGCAACCATGTACGCATCCGCCGCCCTGCATTGAGATGGGCGGTTGCGGAGACAACGCCTACGGGTATGTTACGTGCTTATCAAATGCCGGTTGTTGTAGTCGGCGAATAATCCATGTGTGTCATTTTACCCTTGGTTTTCGGACGTACTATGATGAGTGTTAATGTATTCTCGTCTCGGCTGTGGACTTTGGTCCCGAATCAACTAATTGGCTGTCATTAAATAATTTGGTGGGTTTATACAATCATGATCATTAGTAGATCATTGAGAAATACCCAATAGACACAAGTGTATGGTTTCGTTGGTTAGCGGCCCATTATAAACTTTTGTTTCTTGATGATCTAATTCTGGAGGATAATTCAACACGAGAGTTTTAAGGGCCGAACATTTTGGGGGGAGAATGTAAGGAAAATTTGATGATAACTGTCGTATGGTAATTTTTGAGAAAAGATAATCGTTTCCTTTTGTGTGCTGGGGGGTATGGAATACCCGAAATGTTTAGGAAAATGAGGATGCTTATGATTTTCGTAGAAAATGTGGTCAAATTGTTATTTTCTGGGTAATTTTATAATGAGCCACTTGAATCTCTTAGCAATCACGGAGATCGATGGCAATTGTGTTCGCGTAAAGTCGGTTGACCTACGTACAAATCCAAGAGACCAATGCAGTAGAGCCCGTAGGTTCTATCCAACCTACCAGAAGCGACATTTTGAATAGTACAGGCGAGTATGATTGGTAATCATATCTAAACTAAATAAAAATTAATAGGTTCACTGCTCTAGTTGCAGAGTTGCGATAGAATGTTTGATTTAGGATAAATGGTCATCTTGTACTGCACGTATGAACTACTGGAGTATATGGAAACAGTGGAACTCTTGTAGTGGTGAACGTACCAAAAACTGAAAGAACAAAGAACAAGAAACAAAAATAAAACCTTAATAAGCTTCTAGGCGTTTCGGTAGCAAAGTTGTCATCATCAGCGAACCATTTAAACATTTCCAATTTTAAAGTGGTTTCTTGGTGCTTTTGTTTCAGTTTTTGTAACTAGAGTAGGTAGGTAACTCAATAATAACGAGTGAGCAACAACATTTTCATTCAGAGTTGGCCCTGAAAAACAGAGATATAGACGTGTCCGTAATGTGTAATTGTAATTGTCTCAGTGATAAATGCAGTTTTACTGCACAAGTAAATCTATTAATGTACCTACTTAAAATTAATATTAGACGTGACCTACAATTTCCACGGCCTTCCCTGAGTCAAAAATTTTGTCGCTCACACCTAATATCCGCAATGTTTTTACTTTTATTTAAATTTCATATTATTTCTGTAGTAGTGAAGGTTTTTCTAATTTACTTTTATTGTTAGTGATGCTACCACTATTAGAGACATAAACCTTTTACACAATTGGCTGCCTATATCAAGCAGCTGAAGCGCAACGTTATTCTTTGAGAAAGACGGTGCTTGGTTACAATAGTTGGAAAGGTTATTTTCAAGAAACTAGTCAGTGGTTAGATTATTGGCTGATCGCAACACTATCTCGAACTTTGAAGTGAATCGAATGCCCCCCCAGATTACAGATATTCCTGTACACGGCAATAAAATGCTGATGTGATGTCTATGGTGACCTGAACTCTTTCGTGGTTTAGTGCACACGGACATCGTCTCGAAATTGGCAAGGTAATGGCGACGAGCCGACGGCGGCAGAAACTAGTCTTAAAATTGTATCTCATTGACAGGTTCTTTAAAGGTCTCATTTACGTAATAGACATTTTTTAAGTTAATGGCACGCTATTGCCTCAGTGCAAGAAGCTAATTATTTTGGAATTCCTTCAACTTGAACAATAACGTTTATACATAAGTATAGGTATATCGCACATGGAGGCTTAATACGTAATATTTTTAAGAAATTTTAGTAAGATGTACGTTTACATTTCCGCTGGTAACTTCTGAAATTGACATACTGGAGGCGATTTTCCTGTCCTTGCCAATAAATAATATTGGTCCTTCCTTGATGACAAGCAAATCGCGATACTTGTTTTAATATAGGTAAATTAGTCCCTACGTTAAAACATTGAAGTCATCGCATTTCTGCTCTTTAAAACAACTTTCACTCAGTTTCAATCGTGGGTAATCACTATACTATACTGACTTTGAACAGCAAGTATTTTACGTTTAGGTACTATAAGCGTTGTAGAATATACTTGATCGTACTTTCTGATTGTTTGTAAAAAGAAAAACATATCCAAAAAAAAATTACAGTTCTCAAATGGGTATGCAATTTTATACCTTTATCCAGTATAAGTTCCTCATGATTATGATAATACAGAACGCCCAGTTTATTTCTAAACCTGACCTACCATATACGTTATATACGTATAAAGTGGATGCAATACTTGTCCAGGTATAACGACGCGATGCAATAACAACTTGAACAAATACATAGGTATAGTTCGTACTTCGTAGTATAATCATATATATAAGAGAAGAATATAGTCAATGACAGACAAACACAAAATATTCACCTAACCGCCAGTTCATCCAGCTCGGAATACATTTTTATTAGTCTCGGCGATGAATGTAAAAATGCAAATCACAACATGAGCATTAATTTAATACCAGTATAGCACGAGGTATAGCACGTAAGTAAAAATGTGAATTTTCGAAATCTTTATATGAAGGTTATTTGTTTCCACGAATATAATCTTTACTTTTTACCTACTTACTCCTAATATTTTAAACAGTTAA